GCTCTAGAAAACAGGCACTTATCTTGATTTAACAAGTAATGATAGCAAAAGCCCGAGCTGTCATGCTTTGGAAATAATGGATTAGCTAATTGATTGTGAAAAGAAATATTAGGCTGGAGCTGAACATCCTTTGGAGTGCTCTCTTCTCCTTGCTTCAGTCTTTAGTGCCTTGAGAGCATGTTTGTACACTGAGGGGGGGGGTATACTCAACACAATCAACTACTCCTCCTACAAAGCACATGCAAGGGACTGCTGGAGGTGAGCTACTTTTCCTTGTCTTGTGGCTGTCCTGGAGCAGTCTGTGGTGTCTGCTCTGGAAGAACAAGGGAGCTGGTGAAGGGTCTGGAGCACAAGTCCTGTGAGGAGCAGCTGAGGGAGCTGGGAGTGTTCAGTCTGGAGAAAAGGAGGCTCAGAGGGGACCTTATCACTCTACAACTCCCTGAAAGCAGGTGGGGGTTGTTCTCTTCTCCCAGGTAACAACTGACAGGATCAAGAGGAAATGCCCTCAAGATGTGCTCTGAGTGCTAGGAGAGGTTAATGTCGGATGTCAGGAAGAAATTCTTCACTGAAAGGGCTGTCAAGCATTGGATCAGGCTGCTCAGGGAGGTGGTGGTGTCAGGAGTGCTGGAGGTATTTAAAAGATGTGTAGATGTGGCACTCTAGGGATGTGTTAGTGGTGGACTTGCTTGGCAGTATTGGGTGAATAGTTGTGCTCAGTCTTAAGGTCATAATCTAAATTATTTAATTATTCTATTGCTGTGACAGAAGATAAACACACAAAGCCTTATTTACCTATGTAGTCTTTAAACCTTTTGGATCTGGGCTTTAAACTCTTGGGTCTAGAGACAGCATATGACCTGGGCAGGAAAGGAACTTCTTTCTGGAGATGTTTATTGTTTGCAGGTGGTGGGAGACCAGTCTGCCCAGAAGTGAGAGTTCAAGCAAGGATGTATGAAACTGGTCCTTGGGACACCATACACACACTCCTACCTCTCATCACGGCAATGAATGTGTGTAAGAGCATAACTTTGACCTCAGATATTGCTGTAGCCAATGCACAGTCACACTGCTCCTCCTTCAGCCCTTTTCCATGGGTAAGGAACTGAGGGAAGGCAGGCGGGATTCAGCTGCACAGCAAGACTGAGTCAAGCTGGGACCCAAGTGCAGGTTTTACCTGTTTGTACAGTTCACTTATTTTTCCCATTCATACTGAAAAGAGCTACATGTTGCTGTCAGACTTTAGTCTTGAATACATCTTTAGACTGTTTTCAAAAGGCATAACAAACTACCCCAAGCAGACGAATTACTGCTGTCAGCAGCACAATAATAGTCACACACATGGTTTCTTTCTCTTTTCCTCTCTTCCACTCCCCATGATGAAATTTCTAAAATGTTGTGCACTGCACAGAATGCAAACAGACATTGGGTTAGTTAAAAACATACTTCTCTTTATTTGAAAGTTTTCTATTCACAGATTACAGGCAGTCGGATACATTGCATAGTATACCTTTTTTTTAAAGTATGCACATTATCAAATATGTCAGAAAAAGGATGGTTACTGGCTCTAACTTCCCACAAGAAACAGTGAAGTTAATGGAACAATAAATTAAAGGAGTAGTAGTAGTCCACATTACATATAAAATAGGTGTTAACAGATAAAAACATAACATGAATGATGACAGATTCAGTTTCCCTTCTCCTTAGAAATTCAGTGTCTTATTAGAGTGGTTTCCTAAGCTGAGTTTTTATTAAAATGCAGTAGTGGTCTGAAACACAAAAGTCACACAATTTTTTAAGTTGAATGGGAATGCCTTCAAGAAACCTTGCTAGTGGGAATGGGGGTGCCCATTGCCCTAGGATGCTCAGGTCCTATTCCTGATGTTGAGCCCTTGCTGCTGCAAGGAGGCAGACTTGGTGCTTCAGCTGTAGCTGATCCTGGCTCTAAGGCACTGCTAGGGCCTATTAACTCTTTACATTGCAGGCACTAAGTATTCAAAGATAAAACTCCACAGGGTAGGAGAGTGGGGTGTTATGCAACCTTAGTTTAGTGTACTGGCCATCATCTCTGGGACTGTCCTCATAGTCCTACATAAATGCTCCTTGCTGGAAATGCAGTATCTGGGCCCTCTGTGGGATTGAACCCCCAGGGAGCTTCTGTGGGTGCTAAAGAAAAACAGTTTTAAGAGATGTATCTTGTCAGTGTGCTCTCTTTCCTGTTTACCTGAACTCATGTGGGTTTCCAGGAGTGCTTTCTGGCAGGCAGGTTTTGCTGTGGAGCTGGTCCTGTGCGTGGGCTGAATGTCAGGGTGCCACCTGCACTTGTCTCCTGCCTTGAGCTGGAGGCAAACACCTTGTTCATCTGTTCAGGGGAGCTCCAGAAAGTGCCAGAGCTATGGTGGGGAGGTAGGGATTGAACAGGGACACAAAGAGATAAGCTTTTCAAGCAGAACAGCAAGAGATCTCCATTAGGGAGCCGAGTAGCTGAGTCCATGCATGCTGGAGCTCCAAGTGTCTTTACCACAACATGGATGCTGGCCCATATATTACCCAATGAGAAAAGTCAACCATGTTCTGAATTACAGGGTTGTAATTCAACCCTGAGGATCTGGTGACTATAGAAACCACCTGAGCTCTGCTGCCCTGGTTTGACTACCATATGCTCCCAGAGGCAATTATAATCCGGTTGTGTGTCTCAGCTGCCTGGCACTTTTTTCCTCCCTCCTTCCATACTTAACACTGAGGTAGAAGTTTCAACTAGCATTAAAACACACAAGAAATGAACAGGATCTTAGTGGGAAAGTAGTCCAATGACCTTCAAAATTTGCAAAAATATAACGTGGCTATTAAATGAGTAACAGAAGTAGAAGAGTAATTCTAAAAATGTCAGAAAAACAGTATCAAAAAAGTACAGTACAGAGTTGCAAGACATTTTGTATTGTATTTTTAAAAATTAAGAGGTTTGTTTTTTTTTTAAATTCTCCCTCTGCAACAGAAATTTTTATACTGGTATCAAAGTAGAAATACACATGAATTTTTGAATACATTAACTCTTTTGAACAATTATCCCATTGGCTTCAGTTGAGTATTGCTTTTATTTCTTATAAAAATACATATTTAACTATGTGTGTGTATATATTGACATACGTGTCTTGCAATAAGACCTGCATTCCTTCTGAAGCTGACAAGGAAGATCAAAGTAGTGGCAGTAATCTTTACAACAAGACTTAAATGTCTTATTGTTCATAAAATATTTAAATTTAAACAACACAAATCACCAACATAGGATTTTTTTTTTATTTTTTTTCTTTACTACCCCTGTAATACTAAAGAAAGTTTATATTAATAGCTAAATAAATCGAGTTAAACTACTCCTGTAGGGGCTGCTTTTAGTTACATCCACTGTACTTAATACCACAGAGCAAATGAGGTCCAAATTTCAGTTGAAAGAACATGGTTAGCTTGAATTTCACCCTATTGATTTAATTATTGGCAGGAATGTGAAAATACATTCAGTGTAAGAAAGCTGTTAAAGCCAAAGGAGGAAAAAAGAAGTTATTATTCTTAGAGCTATTTTCCAAGAAATACTAGATGTTCCAGCTTTAAAGCTGCATTTTTAAATCGGGGGGAAAAAAAAAATCCATGAGTAGAGGAAGACAGTGTTTATGAGCCTTCAAGGAGAACACTTCACTGACATTAAAGGCAACTTTGCAGACTCACTTGAAATGTATCAATTTGTAATCTACACATTTACAGGAGCTGCTCTGCTCTGAAAGCTGTTTCCCAATCTGTGCCAAAACATGTGAGGCTGCGTAGCATACTTCTGATGATAGACCTCCAGGCTCTGTTTCTCCATAATTGATTTAGTTATTAGTTATGCAGGGGAGAGAAGAGATCCCTGAGGCTTAGTAAAACAGTATTCAGTTACTAAAAGCAGCCCTTTGTGAATTAATGTCATCCTACCAGCTCTTTCTGCTCATTATTCCTTCAAGTCTTGTTTTCCTGGACACCAGCTGTCACAGAGGAAGTCTCCAGCCTTTTCTTCTCCTGCCTCCTTGGCTGACTGCAGTTGCACCAGCACGGTCTGGAGTGTCTCCTTCACCACCTGGATCTCCCTCTGCAGAGACTGTGCAAGCTTTATTAAGGAATAATCTATAGGTGATTGGCAGTCGCTTTTCTCTTTCCAAGTTATTAAGTACATTCTTGTTCTGCTGTTCACAACAGATGGCCATGGCTATCTAATTGTAGCTTCAAATTCTTCCAAATTGTTTGGATTAAATATTAATACATTTCTCACATTTGCTAGCAAAAGAAAAATGCAGGCAAACTCAAGTTCTCGAGTAGCATTATTTAGCAGTTTAAAAAAGAGAGGAGATGGGGGATACTGCTTGGACATTGTTCTCATGGGAAGGAAAGAGACAAAAAAATATTGTGTACTATGGAGGCACCAGCATTAGTTGTGAGTTTCCTGATGCATGGAGGGTGGACTTTAATACCAGAGAGACAGAGCTGGGTGGATCAGATCCCAGGTGAAGGCAGCAGGGGCAGCCTGAAACAAATGCCAAGTGACCACAGCTTGTGTGACATTAGTGAGCACAACAATGCATGCTATGCAAGGTGGGGTGGGAATCTAGGTAAGGAGCAAAATTAGCTTACAGCAGAGAAAGTTTTTCTGCTACACTTACCTCCAGAAAGCTTTCATGTTAGCTGAATTATCATTATAATTATAGTGCAGAACACACAAATATAAACTATACAAGAATCCACAGGGAATGCTTTGAACAAATTGAAAAGCAAGAGGGCAGTAACAAGGTTGCACTGTTGTGCATTAAAAGGAAGAAGGCCACCTGAGAAGTATCCAATAAATAGTATAAAATGCTTCATTTGGTTAAGAAAGAGATTTTCCTCTATCTATTTCAGGGTTCCTGCAATGAATTCAGGGAGAAACTGATGCTTAATGGCTCAGCCTCTGAAAGAGACCTTCCACTTCCCTCTTTCCCCAGCTCCACAATGACGAGAGGGAGGATGCCATGTGGTGACAACAAGGGGTGCAGCAGGATTGGCAGATGAAGGCAGGACATTCAGAGACAGCAACAACTCCTCCTGACACATGCACAAGCCTTTAAGTGGCTAGGCTTCCTTGGCAGAACAGCTTTTTGTGCTATGACTGGTAATAGGTTTGTACTACCAATATACTGGCCTTTCTGCTGATAATCATAAATCAGCAACGCTATCCATTGCTGGAAGAAGTGCAAGGACTGGGTGTAGCTCAATGAGACAACCAATTTTATCCTTTCTTCTACAGCTTATTCTATGTGAAGAAGAAAGCAAGCAGAGGTGAGCCAGAGCCTGCTGAAATGGTAAATCAATGACCAAATCTATCAACAAACCCTAGGGCCCATCCCATCGCCACTGAGGCCTCCTGGACAGGTATGGCTGAAGGGTAAAGACCCCAAAAGACAGAAATTGGTTCACCTCACTTCAAGGGAAGTGAAACAGGATAACACTGAAACAACTCAGTTTCAAAAGTACAACACACAGAAAGGACAATGCACAAGGACAGTCTTTGTCCTTCGCAGAGCTCATACATTAGGAAATGTTGTTTTACTTGACCCCAATGTCAATGCAATGTCAAGAAAAAAAGATGGCCTCAGGTTATGTGACTGTAAAAACTAAGCTGCTACTTTTGAAAAATTATGACTTTATATAAAGCTATACCAAGCATGGCTCTCTCAGGCAGCCATTATTATGTCTTTGAAAAGTGTTGGCTGCTTTTGATTCTGTTACCAATTCCCCAAAATTTCATCTTTGTGTATTTACATGCATTTGCTATGATGTTTTGCTCTTAATATGTTCATGCATATTTCTAATTTCTGGACAGCTCTGTTAATCTAAAGGGCTTCTGTCTCTGATTACAAGTAGAAGCAGTACACACTAAGCTTCTCCTATCCCAGGATCACAAAGCACTGTACAAGGACAAATTAATTATGCTTTGCATCTTCTCTGAAGTAAGAAATATTATTATTCTCTTCTAAGTCCTGGATTCTCCACCCCTCTGCAACTTAATCATGAGGCTCTGCTGAAAACCTAACTGGTAAACATAAATTCTGTAGTCCATGAACACCATAAACCTTCTGAAGTTTAATTAATTCTGATGTGTAGTCTCTGACTACATGCTGTTACTTGTAATATTCCAGGCAACTACAAAATTCCTTTCAGGTAGAGAGAAAAAGCAAAATTGAAAAGTTTCAGTGACAGTGGATGAGAAATCTTAAAGGATGGAAGATAATGAGGAAGACAGGAAAAAAAACAACTGTTAACCAACAGAAAGGTGGAGCAACAAAAAAAAAGATGACTGCATAGTCAAAGTACAGCAAGTTCCAATAACCTCATAAATAACACCACAATCGTATGTAGACAAGTAAATGAGCCTTTATGGCTAAGACAAATATATTGGTATATGGCTGAGTATGGAATTTCTATCATCTCTAACACACAGGTTATATCTGGAAAAACAGCTTCACCCATTTTAAAAATACAAATAAACAGTTTTGCATGGGTCCACATGCAAATGTGTCCTTCATGTTTAAATTGTCTATCCAGTGCTGCAAATATTGAGCCATTATCCAAGGAAGGAGTTAAAACAAGTTCCAACTAGGAATATTTTCTGGTTCTGCTGTCTACCTCTGAAAACTGAAAAAAATCTCCACAATGTCAAATAAGCAGTAAATTAAAGTACTTGGGAACAAGTATAACCCATATTCACAAAAATGCTGCAGGTTGAACATTGTCTTGCTGGAAGCTTTTCACCTATTTGACTTTGTCTCTCTGAAAAATTGAGCATCATCTCAGAGCCCACAATTTGCAAGCAGATAAAAAGCACATCAAATTACTGTAGAGACACTTGAGTTTTGGAAAAAATGGGATAATTTTGTTCAAATGCAGCTTCTGATCTCTCAGCCCAGATGTTTAGGGAAAAGACAAAAAGTAGATACTATCAATCAGTTGCCTTCCTATAGGAAAGGTTAGAAACTAAGAGTACATATTATAAAATAAAAGACATTGGAAGGACAATGAAGGACAACTACTGCTCTAAGGGCCAATGGGATTTTGGAAAGTAACTGCATTGTTTGATGCAATTACTTGCATCAAAGTAACGCAATGAAGAAGAAGTTAGTTCTTGAAGAACAGAAATAATCAGAAAGAGGTTTTTGGTTGGGTCTTTTCTTGTTTTTAACCTGGTTAACTATTCTGCTTGTTTCCAAAAGTCAAACAGTGGCTGCAGACAGAAGCTCAGCTCAATGTCCCACCACCTAACTGCAAGTGTCACTCCCAAGCCCAGGCACCAGCACCCATGGAGGGGCTACGCCAGCTGCAAAGAAGTTCTGCAGAAAAGGACCTTGAGGTCATGGTGGACAGTAAACTGCACATGCACCAGCAATGTGTCTTGGGGCAAAGGAGCCCCACAGCCTCCCAGGCTGGATTAACAAAAACACAGCCAGCTGGCAGAGGGAGCTGATCCTTCCCCTCTAACCAGCACCGCTAAGGTCCCATCTGGATGTTGTGGGTTCCACAATAAAAGAGAATGATTTACTGGAATGACTCCAGCACAGGACTGGTATAATGGACTTGGGTATCCATCACATGAGGAGATGCTGAGAGAACTGGGACTCCTCAACCTGAAGAAAAGAAGGCTTGCAGGATACTACCACTGGTATAAATAGCTGAAAGTCAGGAATGAAGAAGAGGGAGCCAGACTCTTCTTTTTTTCTTGTTCACTGACAGAACAAGAAGTAACAGGGAGAAATTCCAAAATAGGAAATTGAATCAGAATTCACTAAAACATTCTGTTTGTTTAAAGGTGGTCAAACACTGGACTATATTGCACTATCAGGTTGTGGAGTGCCCATCCTCCACATTCAAAATTGGATTAGACAAAACATCCTGGACAACTTTCTCTAGGTGACCCTGCTTGAGCAGGGAGTTGGACCAGATGATTTCAAAAGGTCACTTCCAACTAAACAGTTCTTTGACTGTGTGTGCCACATGCCAAAGGACCAGTGAAGAGCCAAGACAATTCAGTAAGTCTTTTGAATGACTGGGGTTTTGGCCTTTTTGAAGAGCACTCTTGGGAGCAAGGGAAAGACACTAAGCAAGTCCCTGCTCTTTCTGTGAGACCTGTGTGGTGTCACAGCAAGAGAGAAAAATGACTTTTGGAAATCCATCACTTCTCCTCACAAAATACAGGGGTATTTGCGGTAGTTCAATCAATTAAAATTTTCTCAAACACCCCATTGATTACTGTTGCCCTGCTTCACATCCATTAATGTTATTTCTACAAAATAAGATAGTACCCCTGCCATGCAAAACCCAAAATACTTGCCAAAAAAACTACTAAACAAAAAATACTGCAACAGAATGACTGCTACATATTGAAAAATGGAACCCTTCAGTGGTCTGAATATCAGCTACTTTCAAATTGCTTGTTCCAGCAGAAAATAGAAGGCAAAGAAGTTGCAGCACCTGAGTGGAAATACACTGACTCTATCACAGTATAAACTATAAAAGTAGAACTATGTTCTCTGTGTGACACGCAGAGGGAAGGGCTCACCCTCCCGTAATCTAAAATAAAATCAAGGATGGTGCCATTGCCACCTCTAACACTTGGAGGATCCCAAAATCTCTTACAGGTTCACCCAGAGTGAGACTCCTCACTGAGCTACAGCCAGGGCTCAATTTTACATGAATCTCTTGAAAACCTGCTCTGGTGTAAAGCAAGACTTGTATGGGAGCCTGCTGCAGGATAAAGGTGAAGGGTTAGCAAAGTGACCTGCAACATTTAATGGATATTTAGGCACAAAATTCTGCTTTCAAAATAACTGATTAAAATTCCCATTTTAGGGCAAGAAAAGAAAATTGTTTTTGTAATAATACCACATGTTTTCTTCCAACAAAGCATTTCCACCAAGAGGAACTATTACATGCATTCAAATTGTCTATCAAAATGTAACTACTAATTAAGAACAAAAAATGACTGTGAAATTGCAATATAGACTCCATTTAATTTTAGTGGTAATTCCAGGCCTTTACTGTCAGGAAAGTAACACCTCTCATCAGCTCTGCAGACACCAGAACGAGTCACCTCTCATCCTTTGGTTTTCCCAATTAATGATGTGGACTGTTTCCATACACTCATTAATGATCAACCATAATTGACTATTTTGTAGGTTTATTTGGTTATATTACATAGAATTTAGCAAATATGTCATAGTGCTACAGAGAACTCTAACATCCAGTCCCATGCCCCTATTGTTTGATGCTTTTTATATAGAAGGGCAGTTTAGTGGTTTTTGTGAAAAATTTCAACAATAAATTAGAATTGCAAGTGGGTCTGTGCCTATACTCAGGGCCAAGACATATCACTGGATTTCTCCTTTGTTCAGGTCGTGCTGGCACTTACAATGAGCAGTGTGGTTGATTTAAGTGTGCTATGCCATCAAAACATAGAATGAAAAACAATGACATCTGGGTTTTTCCTTCTAATACGAACTTAATTATTAATCAAAGCTATGACACACACTAAACATTGGCAAATGGCTCAAGAGCAGCAGGAATTTATTTTTCTCAGTGGAGTCTTTGGAACTCTTTTAATAATCAGACCACAGGACTAATTTGTATCTGTGCAGCCCCCAGTTTGATATTTGACCTAATATATTTTGTAACATTTATGTGTAAAGCAGTTTTTTGGGAGGAATATGGGAAGGATGAAAATAACCAGTGAATGGACTTGGAAAAATTTATCCTGCTTTCATTACTATTTCAGGTCTTTAAGCTCCTGCTCTCAGGATTTCTACAGCTTTTTAATGTAAGACTGCATGATTGCCCAGTATCTGTGTTAGGAAATTGTTTTATCTAAGATCAAATAAATTACAACAACAGATTCATCTATTAAATAAATTCTTCTGCCAAGGCTAATTGTTGTCTCTTATCTTAGGGCTAGTTCCTGCAATACAGGCAAGTTACCAATGAGTGAAAGCTAATTTTATAGGCACTGCACAGTCTTTATATAAAAAAAACCAAAACAATCTACAGGTCTGTGGCACTCTGGTAGCTATTTTTCTAATTCCTTTTTGAAGTACAGCACAGTGATTACATGTACCAGATGGTAACATTTTATGCACATTGACCTGGACTACCTCTGAAATAGCAACTGAATGTTAATGAGGGGTAGCTGAATTGCTGAACTGCTTCTTTGTACATCCCTATGTTTTAAACATGGTTTCTTATTTTGTGACTGATGGTCTTGCTAAGACCAGGATATCACACACTGTGCATTTCTGTATTTAGATAACATGTGTTGAATTTCACTGATAGAGGAAGTCAGATCTCTATCAGAAAACCGTGGCTTAAAATGAGACTAATCTACAACTCTCCTGAAATTTCCAATTACTAATTTTATTTTTTTACTAACTCTTGCAGTCTCAACAGCTGTGAAGAAATAGGCACGCTCCATAGAATGTAAGAAACACTACTATTTCGCACATATGTAGTGTATTATCTTCTGGAACCAAAAATGCAGTTTTCCAGCTTATTTCACCTTACCTAGTAAAGTATAACTATGATCAGATGTGACTGTTCAGTTGGAATATTAACTTAAGTCCCCTGCAAAGAACCTGTAACTACAACCCTCAGTGCTCTATAAGGGCCACTGAGAAAGCTTGTTTGAGAGTAAATATATGTAAGGGAGAAAGGAATTGGATGCTCTGCACACACACATCCATACAGCTCTGAAAAGAATGCATTGGGGAAACACAACTGCAACCAAGCATGAACACTGCAAATATAATAAAAAGAATGTTGAATAATCTTTCTGTATATTGCCTGTATATAGAAATGCTTAAACAAGACACATTTAAAGTACTGACAAATGACTGACTGGATTTCTTTCCTCCATTGCAAATCCCCTTCCCCTAACACCATCCTTCCTTCTCTCTGCCCCTCACACTTTATCCTTCTGTTACCTTTAAAGAAATCACGTTTCTAGAATAGGAATTTTGCAATGACTTGCCATAGATGCCCAATTACTTAAAACACAGTGCTATTTCCACACACTATTTATTCTCTTTTCTCTAAACTATCTTCTACAGGACTGTCCACCTTCTCTTAGCAGGAAGTGAATCCTTTCTACACCATTGTCACCCCTAGTCACCTTCAGATGTCTCCAAGGGCTCCTCTGCTAATCTCTGCACCCTGAATTCATTTATTTTTCTTCATGATCATCTCGACTGCCATCTCTTCTCTACTAAAACTTAAC